TACTGGAAAAAAAGGGTCTTTTTATGTAACAGCGTTACGCGATAATAAAACCTTTCTAGACGTTCGAGACTTCAGCCGAAAAAGGTCGTTCTTATAGCATAAATAGAGTTTGATAAGTTGTGTCGAATGGCGTTTGAATGAACTTTCTAGCTGTTACACCTTCCGAGTTGATTGAAGAACAGTGTGTCAAAAACGTAACAGCGTTACGTTTGGACAAGCCGTATTACATTAAATAGTGAATATTGATGAAATTTATCGAATTAAAACATAATTCAATATGAAAATTTATATTGGAAAATTTGAAAATGATGTTTTTCTTATTCAAATTCATTTAACAAGACAAATATGAATCCTATTATCCATACGAAATCGATATACTATTGTTTAAATTATCTTAAAGTATGTTTGATTTTATTTTGAATTGCATAGTTTTGACCATATATAAAATAGAATCTGCAATCAATTTCATTGAACGTTTTCAAGACTAATACTTATTTAAATTAATAATAGATTATCTAAAACATGCAGACAAAGAAAATAGTTGTTCATCAATCCATATAAGATTGATAAGCATTACTTCGGACATAGCTTATTTTGAAAAAGGTGATTTAGCATTTTATCTAAAGTTTTCAGGAACTTTTTTAGATTTAGTGAATAAAATAAAATCTTGTAAAATAATATCAGTTTTCTCTTGATTTCAATATTGCTGATTTAATTCGATATTTGATGTGATGTTCCAGTATTTATTATTCATACTGTTATTCTCTTTAATAATTGGAAATTAATATTCACAATAGATGTTTCTCATTGACTTTGACAAATAAAATTTTCTATATTTTTTTAATCATTTTCATTTTATAACAATGAGAAGTAGAAATGCAAAATATTATCTAAAAACAAATATATGATAGGATTTAGAAAGATTATGTTGAAATAGTAAACAAAAACTAAACATGACTAGATTTCAAGAAGATCAAACGATTGACATTGTTTTTAATAGTTTGATAATTTGTTCCATAAAATTTTAATCTTCGAATTTCTGATAATATTTCGAATTATTTTTGATAAGAACAAGATAATGATTTGCATTTTTCACTGTTTAAAAGGTGAAATGAAACTAGAGTCCTACGGAAACGATAAAATAGAAAATATCCCTTCTCGGAAATCCGTTTGTTCTACATCCATATCCGCACAGTATGAATCAAAACACTGCAGATAGATAGTATCGATAATAGATAAATTCAATTTGAATGTAGCTGAAAAAACGTAATGCTGTGAGAAGCTAATATTAGACAACGATAGTTTTTTCAAATATAAAAAAATGAAAATACCACTAGGGATTCTGAACGCCTTATGGGAACTCAAAAAGTTGTTCCCATAGGACTCTACTAGAATGATTCATTTTACTAGCAGATTTTCCACAAAACAACTGACCTTTTTTTTCTTGATTTCTCACGAGAAATTCACTTTATAAAACCAATTTAAAAGTTTCGATTTCTTTCATTTGAACAGTAAAAACTACAGATCTTTCTCTTCTTGCTTTTTGAAGTGGATAATAGTTGCCCATAGTCTACAAACGTCAAGAAGGAAAAGGTTAAAATTTCCCTACTTTTGCATACTTCAGAGGTATATAAAAACTATTCTCTAGTACTATGTCACTGTTTTCTCTTTGATAAAACTTTATTTCAAAGATTTTTCAATGAAATGTTGTGTTTTTGATATTTTGGGAGAAAACTCGATTTGAGTATTTCGAGTGAAAGAATTTATAGATGAAGTTTTATCAAATAAAACTATAATAATCTTGTATAAATAGTCTTTACCTTCCAACAAGTATTATTCTTATATTTATTTGAAATTTTCGTACGCATAGATTTTTATGTTTCGTTTCGACGAAGAACATTTCATGATACATCTCTCGAAAAAAACATATATATTATATTTAGGAATTTGAAAAAAAAAACAATTATTAAATGGTACTGTTTGAATTTTTTTATCCGTAACAATTGAATATATGTGAAAATAAAAAATGTTCCAGATATTAATAATAAAGCAAAAATATTTTTCCATATATCCCAAGTTGTTGTATAAGATATATGACGATGTGTTAAAATTTCTTCACCTTTCATTGAACATTGATCAGTATCATATGGTAAACATAATGTTAAATTTCGAAATTCATTTATTGCTAATACATTTGATGCATAACGAAAAACACTTATCCATTGAATCCATCGAAGAAAACTAAGAATACTTTCTATATTAATAAGTAATCCACTAAAAAGCATCATAATTACATAACAACATATGACCATAACAAGAGCAATACCTAACAAAAAAAAATATATATATAATATAAATATATTCTTTAAATAATCTTTAACCAAATGTTGATGTACTAGCAGCAATAAAATAACACATAGATGAACCAAATATTTTTGCCATGAGATTTGTTATAAAAAAAAGAAAAAAATTTTCAATTGATTGACGAAGATCAGTCAAGAAAAAAGTAATTATTGTATAAATAATTGAAGGAATAATATGTACTAATGGTAAATCAATTATTAATTTAGCAAAATAAAAACTTGATACTCGATAATAACCACTAACATTTTCCTAGAATATATAATTTATATTAGAATAAAATTTAATTTCAATAGACAAATATTATATTTATTAGATTTCAAAAAAAAAAACAAATAAATTTTACATGAATAAAAATTGCTCGTTCTTTGATCAATGGTTCTAATGCATTGACTGCACCAAGTACTTGACAAGATATAATAAAAAAAATTACACCAAAACGATTATATACACCTGTTTCAACTGTTCTATCTAATTTATTAAAAATTAAACCTGTAAATAAACCATATATAATAAAACTAATAATTTGTGATGCAAATAATGATGGATTTCGTAGAACATTACATAATTTTCGTTTTGAAACATAATAAAATTCATTAAAATATGTTCGACTTGTATCATATTTTAATAAATAATTATCTTTATTTTCGTTTATATTTCTATCATTTTTTATTATTTGACAAATATTTAAATGAAGATAAGCTGTTTGAAGTTTTTTTTAAGAATTATTATTCGGTTGAGTAAGTAAATCAAGAAGAAAATCTGCTGGATTATCAAGTTCTTTACAATTAAAACCAAGTGAAGAAAAGTAAGTTAATACTTTATTCGATGGACCTAAATAAATATTAGGACCAGCTAAAAGAAGTCAAAGCTTTATCAAATAATTTGAATATTGAATAACGAGGTTGATGAATTGAAAAAATAATTCTTCCTCAAAATAAAATAACGATAAAATCAAATATCATCATTATATGAAAAAAAGTATTTCGATATAACCTATGTTCTTGTCTTGATAATTTATGTAAACAACTGATAACATTCTGTGCTGTACATGCATCAAGTCCTATATAAAAAAAAACAGAAAAATAAATTATAAAATTAATGAAATGATTAACCTATAGTTAGCTCATCGAAGAAAAGAAGATTAGGTGAAAAGAACTAATTCCATTGCAATAGTTGTTCTTTTTTTCTCTCTACCTGATACACCTCTTATAAAATCAGTTCCAATAAGAGTATCAGCTGCACATGATTCAAGATGATTTAAATCACGAATTATTTGATTGATGCGTTCAATTCGTTTATTCATTTTTATTGAACGTGATAAACGAGTATTTGCAGAAAAAAAGAAGATTTTCTCGAACGGTTGATGTTCCACTAATGATATCTTTAATTAAATATAAACGAAAAGAAAAAAAAATAAGAATATTGAAAAATTTCTACCATCTTGAATAACATAACCAATAATATATTTGAAATAAGAAGGACGACTTTCCCAACCTGTTGGTTCAATTATTAAAAAGAAAATTAATGATTTCTTTTTCACTCTTTTATGTTATCAATAATAAAATTAATATTGTAACATGAAATTCTTATTGATTCAATGAAATTTCAATTAATTTTTCTTTTTCTTTATTGTTGACAACTAAATCATATTGATAATGATAATTTAAATCTGATCGAATTGATTCAATAATAATAATGATATCATTATAAACAGATGTTGTTGTCGTTGTTTTAAGTAAAGGGCACACAATATCTCCTTTTTCATCATTTGTTACTATAAACGTTGTCATTGTTTTTTTTTCTAACTGATTATTATAATCGAACATCGAACAGATTATTCGTTGATAAAGAAAAAAAAATGTCAAGAATATCACGTATACTTATTTTATCATAACTACTTGAATTGCATTGTTATCTTATCGTTAACTCGTTATTTTACTAGTTAGTAAATTATGCATAGGATCTTATTCGAACGTTTTTTGTTTCATTTCAACTCATATTCAATTCGAAAAATTAATAATTTACATATTGACTAAAAGGAAAGAAAAAAAATCATACAACAACAAAATAATAATATATATAAATATAGATTCGATTATATGAACAATTGATTTTGGCTAATATGCATTAAATCATAGAATCATTTGATAGTTTCGCACTTTTTATTCTATTTTTATCGAAATTAAATATAAAATAGACGTTTTTAATAAAAAAAAAGTAACAACATTTGCATTTTTTTTGTCTCTCAGTCTTAAGTGAATATCCAAAATTTAAAAAAAGTCCTATTAGCATCGTTCAAACACTTTATACAATTGTAGTACTTCAGTTAATTAAATAAAAGCTTGTCGTAAATGTTTTTATGGTAGAAGCATTGTTTTAAATGTATGATAAAGTAAATGTTCGAAAACATTCACGTTCTTCTGTTCAATTAACTTCTTTAGATAAACGAGGAATAAATTGTGTTAAATTATCAACGATTAGGTATATATGTATCAAGTAAAAAAGGAAGAATTTCTAAAAGTATTGCTGGATCTTTTGATGAGATACATAATGAAAAATAATTTTCAAGCATTTAATGACGTTCTTTTAATAGATCAATAACATATTCAATTATTTCTTCATTATCTCTTTCAAAACAAATAACTTCATAAAACAAAAATTGAATAAAAAAATTAAACAAAAGAACAATTAATATTAAAATAATCTCAATTGAAGGTGATTCATATTCAAATTTAATTGTTCCCATATATAAAAAATGATAAATACATAAATTGATAAAATAATTCTTTAGATAAATATTTTCTATAAACTAAATATTATTGTTCCAACATAACACAAAATTAAGTATTATATTTAATAAATCAGTATTAAATTGATCATTAATTGATTGTCGTAATAGATCAACTGATGTTACTTTTTAATATTACATGGAAATACAATTGAAGATAATGGTATTATTGTTGCTGAAGATATTAGAGATTTTTTTGGCATTGATATTGAATTATTATGATAACGATGTTTATCGAATTTTGTATCACGGCTTTATGTACGAACAGTACAGTACGACATGGATCAATATTTACATTTGTGCTTTTTTAACGATTGAATTCGTTTTATCAGATGAAATCTTTTTTGATAGATTATCTGTTTCAACAGGAACTTTTGGAGTTGAAGGTATTAAAGCCATTGCAGTTAGTGTCTGAAATTTTACAAATCATTTTGCATAAACTATTCAATTCTATCCTAGAGCAATGTGTTACAGGAAACGGAGCCTACAAGTCGAATACTTGTACAGTTATCTTTTCTATTCTATACTTATAGAATAATTCTATTTTTATTGAGAATAATTAATTAAAACAAAAAAAAACAATAAAAAGAATATATCCAACGATAGTGATCATAATCAATACGAGATTTATCATTTATAGACGCATGGAGATTTCTTGACAATGACAGAATGTATATATATCCTTTTTTGAATAAATCGAGAATGCAAACAGCTAGAGATCTGCGATTTTTACCAATAAATAGAAATAAGACAGGGAGATGTCTTTTTCTCAGATAATGTGTAAGGCGAAATTCTTTTAAAACTAGCCATCTATGAAAAACATTTAAAAAAATGCATGAAAATGGTCTGACACCCAGATGAAAGGACGGGGGACCCTTTGTACACAAAACGGCCCTAAATAAAAATAACCACAAAACACATCTTGGTTTCGAATTTCAAGCTTACCGTTGCAAGAAAAAACTACTGCCAACTCATCCAGAACATTTTTACAGGATTTAGAAGTGCATGGAAAAAGCCTGCATGAACGTCTTGCGACACTAGATTTCTGCTTGAGCGAGTAAAGTGTCATTCATCTGATGACAACCATAATCCACTACAAGAGCATCANTTCTATTTACAAATCAAATATAAATTAAAGGAAAAAGAAAGATTTTTTATTTACGAAGGCTTTAATTCATCATCATCTTCTGCAGCTTCGCCAAGTATATTCTTCAAAATAAAATTATCATCAAAATAAAAAAAAAACATCTATTTTCAATGTTTACTTTTGCTGTAGCACCACTTTGTGCAATTGCAACTGAAACAAGTAAATAACCACATGATGCTTTAATAGAATCTGGATTAATTAATTTAGCCCATTTTCGTTCAAATGCATGCTCTTTTTCATTATAAACCGTTGCAACATCAACTTTAAATATACCAATTGGTTTTGTATCGGTAAATGTACTAATTATTTTCTTTGCATGATGAACCTTAACAAATACAAGTTAAAAATAATTATCATCTACACAAATATATATATATATATATTCATATTTTACTCGAAAATAAATAACTTTTTCCATCATTTGTGTAGCCGGTAGTGTAAAATCAAATGTGAAGAACTACAATAAGAAGAAGATTATTTACATAAAAATATTCATTTTGTAAAAATTTTGTTTATTGATTTATTTTGTTTTGAGAATAATTATATCATCTTAATCATCGACAATTAGGGATGAGCAATGTTGATTTTTTCTGAAATCGACATTAGATCGAAATCGGACCGATACTTTTTGAAACTTTATCGGAATTGCTCACCCCATGATTAAAAAATATTGTAAATTACTTATATAGACCATCGAATTGAACGTATCTTATTCTAAACAGAACTAGAAGTGTTCTCTTTTGTTGTTTAGAAAATCATTATTTATATATACGTCTGAAAGACTAATCTTAACTGTTTGTTGAAATGTTAATAGAGAAGTTCATTATCTTGCATAAAAATGTTTTCGATTCGAAATTTTTTTTGCTTGTAAGAATCGGAATCATCGATACCGATTTTGATTTCAATTCCCATCCAGAATCGCTCATCCTTATTCACAATATATTCTTAAAGATTCTTCAAAACGAACAAAAAAATATCAGTAGTATGAATATCTTAATACTTTTAATTAACAATTATTTTATTATTTCTTATTAGTGTTCTGCATGGATAAGACCTTTTCTGTTATAAACGGATCTGAACTGTAGCTAATCGACATCCAGCAAATATTTCCACACTCACAGTATACCTTTTAAACTTTTATTTTATTCGAAAAAGTATACTATTTAGTTTCTTTCATACACAGCAACAAAAATAGAGACAATATCACATTTCCCAAAATAAGTATACATTTTCTTGTTGCTGATGATGCTATAACGGAAGTAGTGACGTAACCAGAGGTAAACTAGACCGAATGCTGTCGTATCACTGATTGTTTTTGTCCTATCATCAGAATAAAGAAAAATGTGATGATTACTATCATTGACACTATATTGTATGCAATATCCCGAAGATCATCGAGCACTGCCATACCACTCAGGATCTCCTAGTTACATCACTAAATCAAACGCAGTTTTGTTGTCAAAAGTCATAACGGTGAACAGATCTATAGGTACTTTTTTTATAATTTATTTTTCTCTGTATGTATTCCATGATCTTGTTGTATGATTCATCATCATGCGTAAGTGAGTTTTCATTAAAAACGAATTCTTTTAGTAAAACAATATCGTGTTTCCACTTTTGTGATTTGTTCTCAAGCACAATAAATTGTTCGATCATGATCTAATCGGTTTTCACTCCTATGCTTCTATATAAATGGCAGTTTGAAGAAGTAAAAATATTTTGAAATATTGATATCTTATTAATCGTCAGATTGCGTCCGAATATGAGATTGTACCTGGATTCTAATCGACTCAGTGAGTCTGCACTTGAGCCTATGCTTCGGGCTGGGTGGATGTCCGACATTCGATCGGATTGTAAAACACTATTTCTTATTATGAATTAGTCCATAAAAGTTATGAATTCTTTTTTTAATAACAATTAGATAGTATTTATTTACAATATACTTTATAACCAAGCTAGAGTTCTTGTAAACTTTTTTCTATAAGTTTTCTACAGACATACATCTGTATGTGACATTGTGCATTGGAGGAAATGTTTTAAGTTTGTAGAAATTTTGAAAACTTATTCAGATGTAAGAAAATTGTTTTCATTTAAGAATTCGATTAAAGAAACATTTCTTTTGTAGTAATAAGAGCATGGACTTCGTACACAGTTTTTGCAATTTTATTTATTTATTGAAATTATCAACAACGCTTATTCTGTTATGTAACAATACAATTCATTACTTTTTTAATGAAACCTATTTCTATCGATTGATGATTAATAAAGATTAGTTTTCTAGATAACTGTTTTGTTTGATAGATAGAGAAAATTTTTTCAAGACTTTATCTACGTTTGGGAAAATTTTTCCTTTTCGAAGCAGATTCTGCACTAGAGCCCATCGGATTGATTTCAAATCCAGTACAGTCTGGATATGACAACTTTGGATCCGATAGATTCTAGTATTCTAAAAATGTGTTAGGTACACTAGTCATCGAATACAACAAATCGGAGAAAAATATCTCGAATCTTCTGGGTGATTATTTAATTTCAATTAGAATATTTCCTTGAGAATATCAACATACAGTTCGGCCAAGTCAGGATCTAGATCTGCAAATTTTTTGGACCCAACGAGCTCTATTCTGCAGTTATGGTTTTGTAAAAATATATTTTTTCAAATGATAATTTGCTTTATGTCTCTCAGATATTTAATATGACGGACAGCTAACTTGACTGCAAAAATCTTTAGCGAAAAACTTTCCTATATTGAAAAGCTTTTCGGAAATCTGTTGAATAATAGTTCAAATTATTCTCTTGTTTCTATATTATTTGATATGATTTGATTGAAGATTTATTTTATTTAAATGACTTACTTCTCCAAAGAATGGTGAATTATTACATTTATGTACTCCTGTATATCGTTTTTGATCACCGATTTGAACGCATACATATGGATTAATATCAAGTCCAGCAAAATCTCGTCCTTGTATAATATTAACCATAATTTGCCATTGAGTCATTTGATATTCATCACCTTCATATCGTCCCAAACTATAATTATTTTAAATAAAAAATCTAAATTAAAATAATTTTTTTTCAAACCTTTTTTCGAGTAATTCAAGTTCATTGTATTGAACCTTCAATTTTTCTTCTCGAGTCATCGCCAATAAATTTTCAGTAGAATTTGTATTGCCACCAAATTCAGAATCACTAAATGAATCTGAATCAGCATCATCTGTGCGACCGACGAATTTCACACGAAGTTTATTACTTAAATAAAAATAATTTGTATACTTTGATTTTACTATAGATTATCAACAATTTTAATCAAATAATAATTCTAAAGATCAAGTATCATTTATCAATCATAAATAACTATTGTTTTCGCTTCATTTAAGTGTACAAATAGTAAAAAAATCATTAAATTATCTCACGGAAAGAATATCATAAAGTTTTCATGCAAAAACAAAACATTTTTCTTTTGAAATAAAAGAAAGGGAGACCGGAGTTTCAGTCCAAGAAATTTTCAACCCGTGCTTAAACTGACTGCATTAATCTCTATAAAAAGCTTTATTCCCTTAATTAGTTGCTGAATTTCATTGTACTCAGCAGGATGACATTGTGTGAGTGTTGGTGTAGGTCTGGATCTAAAAGAGATCCAGATCCAGATCCACACCATGTTGTCCTACTGAGAGTAGTACATCTTAATAATGGTGCATACTGCTTATCACTACTGAATATAGCAACTAATTAAAGAAATAAGGTGTTTTATAGAGATTAATTTAAACATGCGTCGAAAAGTCATCGGGATTTAGGACTAGGTCGAATATTCCTTGGGTCAAAATTTCTGTAGCCCGAAAAATAAAATCGACTACTTACAATCTAGTATTATGTTTTGAATTAATATATCGACGTCGATGACCACCATGTCGACCGCCATCATCAAATTGATCCATCCAATTGATAGTGTCAGTTGTTTCATCAAGTCGAGCTAATAAATCTCTTTTTTTATCAATACTTGGTGGTGTATAAAAAAGTTTAAGTTGTACAGTTGATTTCATTAAATAATTATTTGGATCCGATAAATTTTCTTCACGTAAGTCAATATGTTTTGTATTCATTAATGACTCAAGCATTATTTCGAAAGTTGCAATAATTTTTTTACGATTTTTTTTCGCTATTATTGTATAAAATTCCATACGTATTTTGTCATCAGGCAATAACATAGTTGCTAAATTAAAATGAAATTTTTTTGGTTTATTTCCACGTGCGATAAAATTTGCTGTTCCATTTTGTATCGGAACATTGTTTGACCAAAGATGAATTCCTGAAGAAAAAATTTTTTTTTTAAATCAAAATCGATGAAAAAGAAAAAGAAATTTTTGAATTATTTTTTATTGCATTTGAATGGAAATAGTTTTAATAGATACCTCGAAATATAACTTTAGCACAAAGTAATGTTAAATTATCATCAATAATTAATGGTGTTGATTGTTCTTGATTTTCATCCAATACATCAGGTTTAGCGTTTCCTATTTCAAGATTAGCAACTTTAAATAAAAAAACTGTTAAAGCCATTCTATATTGTATACGAATAGGTAAACTATTAAGTGTTTACAAGAATTGTTTATATGCTGTTAGGTATATGTGTACACATACCATCAGAATTAACGTTATTAGTTTGAAATGACAAGTATATTGAAAGGAAAAGGAAATATATAAATGTAACGAATAGAAGTAAATCAATTACGGTACAATCACCAATACAGGAATAGAAAGAATTAGATTAATTATTTTCTTTTTCTCCTGTCAAATACTTTTAATATTTTTTCCACCAAAATTGTCTGTCCTATGATGAAAATTATTGACTTTTATAGAGAAAAACGAGAATAAATATGTATAGAAATGTATGTTTATTAAACTAACAATATCAGCCTTTATGAAATGTTAATGATTCAAGAGGTTTGTTGTTGTTCAGAATTTTTTTCTGATGTTGTTGTTGTTGTTGATGATGATGATGATGATAATGATGATGATGGTGGTACCAGATTATCACGAAATGGTTCCAAACGAATCTATAAGAAATAATTCAAAATAACTTTTCAAATCATTCAGATCATTATTGTTTTTTGTTTTTCAAATAAAATGTTGCAATTCTTTTCTCATTTTTCATATCGTTTTGTATGATTGATTTTTTTATAACGTATTTTATAAATAAAAAAAACTTATTAATCATAAAATAAAGTCATTTTCGTTTTTATCGTTTTTCTTTTTATGAAAAAACCTATTTTGACATGTATATAAAATAATCATTATTCAACGGAATGTTTGTTGTATTTAAAAAAAAAGCGAATTTATTTAATGATACTCATTTATATGAAAGATTTTTCATTGGATTCATGTTTATTAAGCAATATCTTAATGGCACCCATCATCCCACAAAAAACTCGATATTGATAAAAAAAAATGATTTTTCAGACAAATATATGAACATGTTGTCTGAGTTGTCTACTGTATGAATTCACAAAAATAGTTTTGATTCTTAAAAAGATTTTGAGAGTTTTTATGAATGATTTGTGAAGCTATCGACACAAATAATGATCTCTAGAGCAATTAATAAAATTCTTTTAGTAGAGTTATATACACAAACTAAACAAATATTTTTTTTTAGAGATAATCAAATCGTGAACATCTTAAAGACACACACTTCAGATTTCCTATGANATAGTTTGTCCTTTATTGGTTCATAAACACACTTTCTTCTAGAAGAAAATTTATTGTAAAGAGTAGACACTACCTTCGCTGAAAAATTCAATTTACAACCCCCCAAAGTTTCGGTAGTCGGGCCAGCCCTGGTGATTGGTCTATTTCGATTTAAATCGTCTTTTTGAGACGATTTATTCGTTAATTCAGTTTTAATTCACTTTGAATTAGTCGGTCTGTTCGGGGCCTTATCTGATGCTATATGAAACATGAATTTCTTCGGTTCTCAAATTACATTAAAATTTATTTTACTTTGTATTTTCTTTTTTTCTTTCTTTTTTTTTGAGTCATAATTATTTTATTTTAGACGTATTAAATTATTTTATTTCGTATACTGAATATACAAAATAAAACACAATGATAGATAATATAAAATCTACAACTGTGTTCAAAGGAGGACAACGCCAAACAAAACCGGTACGTCGTATTATTCGCAAATTTTCAAATGATTGGTCGATGGATTTTTCTGCAATATTAGCATATAATATATTAATTACTCTTCTTCCAATAGCTGTTGCATTATTTGGAATAATGGGTTTAGTTTTGAAAAATTTTCCTGATATATAAAGGGAAGTCAAAGATAAAGTTATTCATTTCTTTCCAGCTGATAATACAACACAATCTGGAATTAAACAAGTAAATAAAATTAATTTAAAGTAAACAAATATTTATTTATTTATTTTATTTTTTTATTATTTTTGAGGTAGTAGATCTTGCTTTTGATCGTTTATCGAAAGATGCCGGTTTCATATTAGGTATTGGTATTTTTTTTGCATTATTTGGTGCATCTCGATTATTTATTGCTATTGATAAATGTATGACTATTGTTTATCGTTTACCTCAACGAACATTTCTTCGACAAAATTTATTAGCTTTTGGAATGCTTTTTCTATTTATAATAATTATTCCAATAATGCTTGCAGCTAGTTCAGCACCAACAGCTTTAATAAGTATTATTCCAGGTGGTAGTGGTCGTTTTGGAACATTTCTTGCTGGAATGATTTTTTCATTATTTTTCGGATTTATTTTCTTTGAAAGTATTTATTTGTTTGTACCAAATAAAAAAATGTCATTTAAAGTTACATGGTGTGGAGCATTAGTTGTTGCTGGTACACTTGAAATATTTATTATTTTTTTTCCATTATATGTACGAAAATTTATGGGAAATTATGCAGGTAAATCAATCAATCATTTTGAATTTATTTTAAATAAATATTAGTTTCGATTTTTTTTTTATTAGGACAAATTGGTTTTGCCGTTATTCTTTTTTTATTTTGCTACAATTCTTATTTTGGGTGCTCAAATAAATGCTTTCTTTTTTGAACATTATAAACCATTAATTGATGGATTGGGTATATATATAAGTCGAATGCATCAAGAACATGGTGTTGGAGAACCAACAAGACCTTTGTGTGAAAATGAAACTGATATAGAACAGCATCAATCGGACATAACAACAACTGATCAATCATTAAGTGGGAAAAGATGGTTAAAGAAATTATGGCCATCAAGAATTACTTCATCAGCAGGACACGGTGGAGATGGAGAACTATAACTTGAAAATTTCTTTTTGTGTACTCAAAAAGTGAGTACACTAGTAAAATCTGTCTGTGTGTCCGTCCGGCCGTCCGTCCGTATACACGATAACTTTCGAAAGGAGAGTCAGATCGCGATGAAATTTTTTGAAAGTATTTATTTGTTTGTACCAAATAAAAAAATGTCATTTAAAGT